GATAAACCTAAAGTCCGCCTACAGACACGCTTTGATTCATTTTCTCTTTCTCCCTCGTTCAGGAAATCTGGCTCAAGATCCAAAGCTATAGTTTCTGATCTGTTTTCTTATTTAGAGGACCTGGACATCAGCAGGAGAGGACTCTTTAAAGTAGATACACTACATACTGATATACACCTGAACATCAGCAGGAGAGGACTCTTTAAAGTAGATACACTACATACTGATATACACCTGGACATCAGCAGGAGAGGACTATTTAAAGTAGAGACACTACATACTGATATACACCTGAGCATCAGCAGGAGAGGACTCTTTAAAGTAGAGACACTACATACTGATATACACCTGAACATCAGCAGGAGAGGACTCTTTAAAGTAGATACACTACATACTGATATACACCTGGACATCAGCAGGAGAGGACTCTTTAAAGTAGAGACACTACATACTGATATACACCTGAACATCAGCAGGAGAGGACTCTTTAAAGTAGATACACTACATACTGATATACACCTGAACATCAGCAGGAGAGGACTCTTTAAAGTAGAGACACTACGTACTGATATACACCTGAGGATCAGCAGGAGAGGACTCTTTAAAGTAGATACTCTACATACTGATATACACCTGAACATCAGCAGGAGAGGACTCTTTAAAGTAGAGACACTACATACTGATATACACCTGAACATCAGCAGGAGAGGACTCTTTAAAGTAGAGACACTACATACTGATATACACCTGGACATCAGCAGGAGAGGACTCTTTAAAAGTAGAGACACTACATACTGATATACACCTGGACATCAGCAGGAGAGGACTCTTTAAAGTATAGACACTACATACTGATATACACCTGAATATCAGCAGGAGAGGACTCTTTAAAGTAGAGACACTACATACTGATATACACCTGAACATCAGCAGGAGAGGACTCTTTAAAGTAGAGACACGACACATACTGAATATACACCTGAACACCAGCAGGAGAGGGACTCTTTAAAGTAGAGACACTACATACTGATATACACCTGAACATCAGCAGGAGAGGACTCTTTAAAGTAGAGACACTACATACTGATATACAACCTGGACATCAGCAGGAGAGACTCTTTAAAGTAGAGACACTACATACTGATATACACCTGAACATCAGCAGGAGAGGACTCTTAAAGTAGAGACACTACATACTGATATACACCTGGAACATCAGCAGGAGAGGACTCTTTAAAGTAGAGACACTACATACTGATATACACCTGGAACATCAGCAGGAGAGGACTCTTTAAAGTAGAGACTACTACATACTGATATACACCTGAACATCAGCAGGAGAGGACTCTTTAAAGTAGAGACACTACATACTGATATACACCTGGACATCAGCAGGAGAGGACTCTTTAAAGTAGAGACACTACATACTGATATACACCTGGACATCAGCAGGAGAGGAACTCTTTAAAGTAGAGACTACTACATACTGATATACACCTGAACATCAGCAGGAGAGGACTCTTTAAAGTAGAGACACTACATACTGATATACACCTGGACATCAGCAGGAGAGGACTCTTTAAAGTAGAGACACTACATACTGATATACACCTGGACATCAGCAGGAGAGGACTCTTTAAAGTAGAGACACTACATACTGATATACACCTGGACATCAGCAGGAGAGGACTCTTTAAAGTAGAGACACTACATACTGATATACACCTGGACATCAGCAGGAGAGGACTCTTTAAAGTAGAGACACTACATACTGATATACACCTGGACATCAGCAGGAGAGGACTCTTTAAAGTAGAGACACTACATACTGATATACACCTGAACATCAGCAGGAGAGGACTCTTTAAAGTAGAGACACTACATACTGATATACACCTGGACATCAGCAGGAGAGGACTCTTTAAAGTAGAGACACTACATACTGATATACACCTGAACATCAGCAGGAGAGGACTCTTTAAAGTAGAGACACTACATACTGATATACACCTGAACATCAGCAGGAGAGGACTCTTTAAAGTAGAGACACTACATACTGATATACACCTGAACATCAGCAGGAGAGGACTCTTTAAAGTAGAGACACTACATACTGATATACACCTGAACATCAGCAGGAGAGGACTCTTTAAAGTAGAGACACTACATACTGATATACACCTGAACATCAGCAGGAGAGGACTCTTTAAAGTAGAGACACTACATACTGATATACACCTGAACATCAGCAGGAGAGGACTCTTTAAAGTAGAGACACTACATACTGATATACACCTGAACATCAGCAGGAGAGGACTCTTTAAAGTAGAGACACTACATACTGATATACACCTGAACATCAGCAGGAGAGGACTCTTTAAAGTAGAGACACTACATACTGATATACACCTGAACATCAGCAGGAGAGGACTCTTTAAAGTAGAGACACTACATACTGATATACACCTGAACATCAGCAGGAGAGGACTCTTTAAAGTAGAGACACTACATACTGATATACACCTGAACATCAGCAGGAGAGGACTCTTTAAAGTAGAGACACTACATACATGATATACACCTGAACATCAGCAGGAGAGGACTCTTTAAAGTAGAGACGACTACATACTGATATCACGCTGAACATCAGCAGGAGAGGACTCTTTAAAGTAGAGACCAATACATACTGATATACACCTGAACATCAGCAGGAGAGGACTCTTTAAAGTAGAGACACTACATACTGATATACACCTGAACATCAGCAGGAGAGGACTCTTTAAAGTAGAGGACACTACATACTGATATACACCTGAACATCAAGCAGGAGAGGACTCTTTAAAGTAGGAGACACTACATACTGATATACACCTGAACATCAGCAGGAGAGGACTCTTTAAGTAGAGACACTACATACTGATATACACCTGAACATCAGCAGGAGAGGACTCTTTAAGTAGAGACACTACATACTGATATACACCTGAACATCAGCAGGAGAGGACTCTTTAAAGTAGAGACACTACATACTGATATACACCTGAGCATCAGCAGGAGAGGACTCTTTAAAGTAGAGACACTACATACTGATATACACCTGAGCATCAGCAGGAGAGGACTCTTTAAAGTAGAGACACTACATACTGATATACACCTGAGCATCAGCAGGAGAGGACTCTTTAAAGTAGAGACACTACATACTGATATACACCTGAACATCAGCAGGAGAGGACTCTTTAAAGTAGAGACACTACATACTGATATACACCTGAACATCAGCAGGAGAGGACTCTTTAAAGTAGAGACATTACATACTGATATACACCTGAGCATCAGCAGGAGAGGACTCTTTAAAGTAGAGACACTACATACTGATATACACCTGAACATCAGCAGGAGAGGACTCTTTAAAGTAGAGACACTACATACTGATATACACCTGAGCATCAGCAGGAGAGGACTCTTTAAAGTAGAGACACTACATACTGATATACACCTGAACATCAGCAGGAGAGGACTCTTTAAAGTAGAGACACTACATACTGATATACACCTGAACATCAGCAGGAGAGGACTCTTTAAAGTAGAGACATTACATACTGATATACACCTGAACATCATCAGGAGAGGACTCTTTAAAGTAGAGACACTACATACTGATATACACCTGAACATCAGCAGGAGAGGACTCTTTAAAGTAGAGACATTACATACTGATATACACCTGAACATCAGCAGGAGAGGACTCTTTAAAGTAGAGACACTACATACTGATATACACCTGAACATCAGCAGGAGAGGACTCTTTAAAGTAGAGACACTACATACTGATATACACCTGAACATCAGCAGGAGAGGACTCTTTAATAATCACAGTATATCTTCATCTTGAGTATTTATTCGGTTTCTCTGCCTCTGTATTTTTCCGTATGAATCCCAGGACAAACCCTAATGAGTAAAGCTGTATTAATTCCCCGTCCTGCACATATTAAACGGTTCTGCACCGCAAACCTGTAAATTGCCGGTTGCCCGTCACCGCCTCTCGTGAAATGACTTCCCTCCGGACCCCCCCCCCATGCATATGCTCATTACACCATCATATCTGTTCCTCCCTGACATTTCTCCCTCTCTCATTATCTGGTCATTTAGATGTGTGAGCGCCGCGATGATTAGCCTCTCCGTTCATAATCAGTCCATTCCTTCCGCTTACCTGCTCAATATTGTTTTTCTGTGTTCAGGCGTATTGAGCCCTGGAGAAGGAAGGATGAGACCCTGGACTTGTGTTTTAATATGACTGTTTTAATACGGTGGGAGGGGGAGGAGGACGGGGGAGGCATGAGTGAGTAGGAGAAAGAGAAGAAAGAAGATTTAAAAAAAGAAAGAGGAGGATTTAAGAAACAGTAAAGAAGGGCTGTCTTAAACATCATGATGATATTATAGATTATATAATGACTAGATTAGTCTAAAATGGAATAAATCTGTTCCATCATATTAACCTGTCAGATTTATTTTAAGTGCCCTATATCTTGCTAGGTAAAAACAATAGGTACCTGTTCTTTGTTGTAATTCAAGTATGATAACAGTTGTAGTATGACACTTGAAGAAGACTAACATAACATTTCATATGTGAATAATATTTGTGAAAATGTGTTGATTTTGATGCAATAAGAGAGATATTGTCAGACGCTTCACTGCCTGCTCTTCAGGCTTGTATCATCACATAGTTTCTGTTCCATTATCACATGTTGGAAGGTGCTGCAGTTCACTCACAGGTGTCGGGTCGCATAAAATCATTTCCCCCTCTAGATCTAAAAAATAAAGGCGGCTTTTCACACCCACTCAACTAATCCTCACATTTCTCTCAATCACCGTTTCCCACATGAAATAAAAACATAACGTAAAAAAGACACTTTTCAATGTCCATCGTACCCTGAAAACGGCTCCAGAGATAGTACAAGAAAGGAAGTGATAGAAAGATCTATAATTCAGTTAAAACCAACCTCATACGAGACAGCAGCTCCTTGTACGTCGGCTGGATGGTCAGGTCTTCTTGTACACACACATCTCTGAAAGAAACACACAATCATCTCCTTAAAGCACATTTATATCCTCCACAAGGTGTGGCCGACAGGTGCAACGCTTCAACACCCCAAATCCCTTCCATCAGGAGAAACGTGCTGCAGCTTAAGAAACGATGCAGATATAAAAACACAACAGTTCCTGTATTCATGAAGAAACGTCTTCAGCAACTTGAGGAGACATGGCAGCGTTTACTACAAGCTGTGAGACAGGGGACACTAAAGAGTGACGCACACAGCTGGGAGACCAGGGGACACTAAAGAGTGACGCACACAGCTGGGAGACCAGGGGACACTAAAGAGTGACGCACACAGCTGGGAGACCAGGGGACACTAAAGAGTGACACACAAAGCTGGGCAGGGACCTAGTGACCAGCTGAGACCAGGGACACTAAAGAGTGACAGCACACAGCTGGGAGACCAGGGGACACTAAAGAGTGACACACACAGCTGGGAGACCAGGGACACTAAAGAGTGACACACACAGCTGATGACCAGGGGACACTAAAAAGTGACGCACACAGCTGGGAGACCAGGGGACACTAAAGAGTGACGCACACAGCTGGAGACCAGGTGACACTAAAGAGTGACGCACACAACTGGGAGACCTGGGGACACTAAAGAGTGACGCACACAGCTGTGAGACCAGGGGACACTAAAGAGTGACGCACACAGCGGGAGACCAAGGGACACTAAAGAGTGACGCACACAGCTGGGAGACCAGGGGACACTAAAGAGTGACGCACACAGCGGGAGACCAGGTGACACTAAAGAGTGACGCACACAGCTGGGAGACTAGGGGACACTAAAGAGTGACACACACAGCTGGGAGACCAGGGGACACTAAATAGTGATGCACACAGCTGGAGACCAGGAGACACTAAAGAGTGACGCACACAGCTGGGAGACCAGGGGACACTAAAGAGTGACGCACACAGCTGGGAGACCAGGGGACACTAAAGAGTGACGCACAAAGCTGGGAGACCAAGGGACACTAAAGAGTGACACACACAGCTGATGACCAGGGGACACTAAAAAGTGACGCACACAGCTGGGAGACCAGGGGACACTAAAGAGTGACGCACACAGCTGGGAGACCAGGGGACACTAAAGAGTGACGCACAAAGCTGGGAGACCAAGGGACACTAAAGAGTGACACACACAGCTGGGAGACCAGGGGACACTAAAGAGTGACGCGCACAGCTGATGACCAGGGGACACTAAAAAGTGACGCACACAGCTGGGAGACCAGGGGACACTAAAGAGTGACACACACAGCTGGGAGACCAGGGGACACTAAAGAGTGACGCACACAGCTGGAGACCAGATAGGCTTCTCAATACTCAAATTTCCCCTCCTCGAGACTTAGACCCGCCCACAGGAGATGCGAGCGGAGGACCGAGGAGGGGAACCGAGGAGAGAGGAGGGGAAGCAGCAGACGTTTAAAGAAATGAGAACTCCTCTCCTCTGAGCGGTCATTTTAAAGAGACGTCCGTTCATTATTACGTGGCAACAGCTGCATCAGCTGTCGAGTGTTTTGTCATAGCGCTGTATCTCTGTTAGATCAGCTGAACATTGTTCCCCCACATATTTACTTTGAATTCATTGAGAGTGCGGTATAATGAGACAATAACAGGCTACAGACACACACACACAAATAAATCCCCCTCCTCTCTCTGGTCGCTGAAATGGGGAATTTAAATTACGGGCCAAAAGTTGTATTTACAAGTAGGCCTATTAAAAGTAAGCAGAGGACACCAAACCAACTGAGACCCGTCTGTCCGCCGCATCTACGCACTATACAACACACACCCTACACACTGTACAACACACACCTACACACTGTACAACACACACCTACACACTGTACCACACACACCTACACACTGTACAACACACACCTACACACTGTACCACACACACCTACACACTGTACCACACACACCTACACACTGTACCACACACACCTACAGCCCCTAAAGCATAATCAGGCTACAGCCGTTGTGTATTTTATTATGTGAAGCACTAAATGGTCTTAGAAAAATATCGACTCTTTGTTTGTAGATATCTACTAAACTAAAGCAAATAAAGAGAGTAGGCCTGTTATACTGAGTGATATATATTATACACACTGCTCTGCTTTCTGCATGGACCTCACAGCTGTTCTCTCTGGAAAGATCGCGACACGATGAAAGCAGTTTCTAAAATAATATCCAGGGGAGACATGCATAGCTGTCATTGGCTGAGATAAGTCCGGCCGTGTGTCACGCCTCCACCGTTCCTGGAAATGCATCCGTGGAGGAACCATCAGTGTATCCTCGGTTAGAGCTCCTCCAGAGAGCCTCCTCGACGCTCGATGCTCGGTCCTCGGTGTGCATTTAGAGAAATGAGACGTCCTTCAAAATGGCGCACTGAAATTCATTTCCGGGTCACTACCGGAGGACCGAGGACTCGAGGAGGGGAAATTTGAGTATTGAGAAGCCTCTCAGGTGACACTAAAGAGTGACGCACACAGCTGGGAGACCAGGGGACACTAAAGAGTGACGCACACAGCTGGGAGACCAGGGGACACTAAAAAGTGACGCACACAGCTGGGAGACCAGGGGACACTAAAGAGTGACGCACACAGCTGGGAGACCAAGGGACACTAAAGAGTGACGCACACAGCTGGGAGACCAGGGGACACTAAAAAGTGACGCACACAGCTGGGAGATCAGGGAACACTAAAGAGTGACGCACACAGCTGGGAGACCAGGGGACACTAAAGAGTGACACATACAGCTGGGAGACCAGGGGACACTAAAGAGTGTTGCACTTACTCAGTGCTTGAACTGGACCATAGTCTCCTGGTGAAATGGTTATGTAAATGTATGTGTCGTCTGCATAGCTATAGCCAGTGGTAGCATGTAGATGTTAAAGAGAAGAGGCCCCAGGATGGAGCCTCGAGGAACCCCACATGTCATATGTGTGTCAACTCAGATGTGTAGTTAGCTATAGAAACAACCTTTTCCCTGTCCTTTAAGTAGGATTCAAACCAGTTTACAAAAGTTGCTGAAAGTAGTAAATACAATATGTTGTGGTCAACAGTGTCAAACGCAGCACTGAGATCTAATAATACTAACACGGAGATTCTGATACTGTCTGTGTTTAAGTGGATGTCATTGAAGACCTTAAAGATCTCCTATCGTGCTATTTTCAGGCATATATCATGGGTCTAAGATATATACAAATATAAAAACATGTCTATGATGTGTTTTGCTCAAAATACTAAACAGATCATGCATTTTAGAAATGCTGGCGGTTTATTTGCGGTTTATTTTAATTGTGAAACATGCAGAAGTGTAGCTGAACACACCTGGTCTGGACTCCGGAGGGCGTCAGCAGGAAGCAGCGCAGGCAGCTGTAGGTCGGAGCTCCAGCCTCTGCCTCCACCTCACTCTCTGGGAGCGGCTTAATGATCTTCACGAAGGATTGTGGGAAAATACCTGTCTGATTGTTCACGGTGCCCTGAGGAAAAGATAGAAGAAAGAGAAAGAATATGATACAATACGATATTCTTCGGTACGATACTCTACGATACAATAGTCTGTCATACTCTACTCTACGATACAATACTGTACGATACTCTACGATACAATAGTCTGTCATACTCTACTCTACGATACAATACTCTACGATACTCTACAATATGATACTGTACGGTACGTGTAAGACACTATACCAAACGTGATTCTGATTCTCTACGGTACGAGTTTAAAACATGGTTTCGGGGATTTTGCTTCTTCATTTTTACACCACCAGCTTTTACAAAGATCTACTCAGATTAATAAAAAGCATTTCTATGGTGTGTTTAAAACATCCACCTTGATGCCCCAGTTGGATTTGTCACATTTTCCGCCCACAGCCGCTCTGTCCGCTGACTAAATCAAAGGCACTCGTCAACTTTTTCACAAGTGTTGCATTATCCTCTTCTCCCCGAACAACAAAAGGCTTTCTGATAGCATGCATGCTAACACAGAGGCAGAGAGAGTGTTGTGTAAGGGTTCTCATATTATCAGTGTTTTCTGTTGCAGCTTTTTGGATCTCTGCAGAAAGCCAGGGGCAAGATAAGTGCACCTCCTCCTCCTCCATGTTGCTTCTCATTCTCTCCACCTCCTCCCTTTCTCTCCCACTCAACCACTCCATCTCAACACCTTCCATATATATTTTTTTGTATCTGACACGTTTCCTGACCTCTCTTTAACTGCACCAGTTCCAGTGTTGCAGTTTTCCTGTCGAGCGTCTAATTTAAAATGCCCCACATCCCATATCAGGACATGCTGGTCATTAAGTAATTGTCCCAGTAGAGGAAACTGGAGCACCTGCAGTCACTTCTGAGGACGGAAATACCCTCTGGTCTCTGGTCTCTGGTCTCCACACACACACACACACACACACACACACACACACACACACACACAACACACACACACACACACACACACACACACACACACACACACACACACACACACACACACACACACACACACACACACACACACCACACACACACACACCACACACACACCACCACACACACACACACACACACACACACACACACACACACACACACACACACACCACACACACACACACACACACACACACACACACACACACACACATCACACACACACACACACACACACACACACACACACACACACACACACACCACACACACACACACACACACACACCACACACACACACACACACACACACACACACACACACACACACACACACACACACACTGTCTTTTGTCTTCACCATGTAGACATTCTGACAATGCGATACTACAAGCTTTGAAGTGACACAATTACTATTTTGGACAATTCAAAGAACACCAGACTTAATTGACTAAATCCTTTATTCAAGAGACATAAAACTCATCTAAAAGCGTGTCTTTACAACATTCACCAACCCCGGTTTGAGAGTGTGATATAGAGACTGTGCAACAGATAAAAGAGAAAGTAACCACCATTGCATTTTCACTTTTTGCTTACCCTGCTTTAGACGTTGCATGTCACTCAATAAAAAGACAGTAATACTCGTCTACGGGTAGCATCGTCAATCTCTAACTATAGGTAGGATGTCCTGTATTGAATGAACCTGTATGTGTGCGTAACATTAGCTTCTCTGACTGCTGTCCGGACAAGTCTATGGTTTCATTGTCAGGTTTAAGCGCTAAATCCAAATTCCAGAGAGGCGCCGACATAAGTGAAAGCGATCCATGGATTCTGCTCGTAATTCATAAGTACAGATGTCATTAATGAACGCTCCTATATCTCTGTGAAGAGCGTCTGTAAGGATTTTATATTTAGCGTTTCGGATCAAATCAGCTGAGAGATATATTGTCTCCTGATAACGTTGCTTTAGACGCTACCCTCCAAAAATGACTGAGCCATTTCCTTTTGTAGGA